TCAGGATGGCCCAGCTGAGCATCGAGTACCTGCTGCACTGCCAGGACCGCCTGGGGACCAGCCTGGCCGGGCACGTCCAAGGCCTCCAAGCTGCCCACGCTGAGCTGGAGCGCACCCAGCAGCAGGCAGCGGAGCAGGCGACACAGCTCCGGGAGGCAAAGGAGGAGAGCAGGAGGTGGAAGAAGCTGGTGGCCACGCAGTATCTCCTCCTGCAAGCCGGCCCAGATGCCTACTGCAAGGTGCCGTGGTGGTGGAAAGGCGTCGGGGGTGGGAAGTGTCCTGGGGAACACCTCATGACCGAGTGACTTTAAGCATGCTCCAGATCAGTGAAAGATTTCTGGGTGCTCCTGGATTTGGGTGGTGATTTTGCTTTTCCCCACCACCACCACCAAGCTTTCCCCCTCCTTTCGGCGGCGAGCCTGCTGGCGGTGCCTCTGGGTCTGCTGCTTCTCCGTCACCAAATCAGCCCTCTCGCTTGTTCCTGGAGAGTAAAAGCCCCCCAAACGAGGTGATTTAGGTTCATACGCCCCCACAAGCGCAGCTCTCCCTTCCTCCAGAGCCGGAGCAGGACCCTCTTAGAACCAGGACCTCAGTGCTGCTTTGGGCACCTTATTGCACTGCTCTGGTGGGGAAAGCATTTTTCCCGCCCCCCAAGCAGTATCCCTACACCATTGGGAGTTGATAGGATAAGGGGGAATGGCTCCAAACTGGAAGAAGGTAGACTTAGATGACATACTAGGAAGAAATTTTTCCCTGTGCGGGTGGTGGGGCACTGGCCCAGGTTGCCCCGAGAAGCTGTGGCTGCCCCATCCCTGGAGGTGTTCAAGGCCAGGTTGGACGGGGCTTGGAGCAACCTGGGCTGGGGGGAGGTGTCCCTGCCCATGGCAGGGGGGTGAGACTGGATGATCTTCAAGGTGTCTTCCAACCCAAACCATTCTATGATCTTGGCTTCTGCCTTCTCCTGACTCATAAATGGTTTCTTTCTTTGGCTTCAGATACAAGGAACTCCTGATACTCTCCATCTATGTACCTCCACCATGACAGCTACATCTCTTGAGGTCTCCTTCTTTGCTTTAAAGCAGCAGCACGTTGTGTGCCAGGCAGGGGATGGGGGGGGGGTGCCCTTTTCTGCAGCTCCCAGTCCCTCTGCTGACTTTCCTTCCCCCCCACCCCCATCTCCAGTGCCACCTCTGCGATAAAGCCTTCGTGAACAACTCCTTCCTGCAAGCCCACGTGCAGCGCCGGCACACCGAGGCCACCAAGGCGGGTGAGCACTGGGACAGTTTCTCCCTTCAATTCCCCAGGCAAGTTTTCCCCCATTGGATGTGGATGCTGGAAACCAGAGAGTTGACCATAGGAGGTGGAAGGCAACTCCTTGTAACCTCTTGCTTCTTCTGCATTTCTGTGAATATTTACAGCGGTTTTGCTCCATGCTTTCGTAGGATTCCTATTGGGATTTTTGCTTTGGGTGGGATGGAGAATCGCATATCGCACCACTGCTCATGGCCTCTCTCTT